GGCGGCGGCGGTAGGATGCGAGAGAACGGGAGCGATTTGAACAGCTCGGTCCTCTCGAGGGACCCGCCGGCCGGGGGCGCCCCGCGCCGCCCGCCATGGGTGACCTCCACCTTGGCCGCAATCCTCATCTTCACCATCGTAGTGGACCTGCTGGGCAATCTCCTGGTCATCCTCTCCGTATACCGCAATAAGAAGCTGCGGAACGCGGGTAAGGGACGGCGAGGGAGGGGGGCTGGGGGGAAGCCCGGAGTGTGGGGTCCCCGCGGCTTCCTAACTTTGCCCGGGCGCCCAACTCCAGGGCTGGGAGCATTTTGCCTTCGTCCTCGGCTGGCGGTTACCGACTGTGACAGGTGCCCAGGGCTTCGTCTTTCCTACTGGGTCCGTGATGGAGCGGGTAAGGGTATTTTTAGCGCCCGCCACCGAATCGTGATGCTATTTTTAGCTCTTGACAGTCCCCACCTAGCGAGAAAAAAAAAAGGCAACCTTATTTAAGAATGAAATTTAGACATGGTGCTGGGTGTGTTGCTGTGGCATACAGTGTGTGACTGTGCATGCTGGATGCTATTCTTCTGATCGATTTTTGTTGAGTTACAGAAAAGTCTCCTGTAAAAAATACTGTTTGAGCTACTACTGTTGAAGCTTCAAATCAAGCAAATATTAAGTTGTGGGCATTGCAGGATTCAGAAAAAAAACCACAAAAGCCCAAGACAGTAATTTCATTTTCTTTGCTCTCTGGGTCTTTAGGTAATGGGGAAACATCTGACAGAAAACAGATTCAGGCACGTTCTTAAAAAAAAAATCTCTAATTTTGACAGAATAGATGCTGTGATGGTCTATTGAGTAAATCCCTCTTAGTTCCTGGATTATTGGTCAGACAGGCAGGAACTTTCTCAGATTCATTCTGCTTTATCATGTCAGACCAGCTGCTGCGCACGTGTACCACATCTGTGCACTCAAAACCCTATGCATCTTTCATTGAACAAAATATGAGAGCATGTGAAGAGAGCTGAATTGTTAATGGAAGTAGAATTTCACTCCATACCGACTGAGATGCTTTTATTTTTTTCACAACTGGCTCTCAGGTTCTTTATTATAACTCCATCAAGTTCATTAGCTAGTGGTTTAAAATTCATCTGAGGGGCAACTTGAGACCAGGCTTTGCTATAAGCTAGTTTAATAAAGGTTGCTAATATTGGACTCCAGCAATCAGTGGAATGCTTAAAGGTTAAGTCAGGTAATTCAAATGGATTGTACATTTCAGTATTATTCAACCATAGTGGAATGCCAACACACAGGATCAAGAAGAAAACTAACAGGTTTTAGTTTTTCCTCCCTACGGTTGCCACTGTTGTAAATTCTGAAAGCTATATTATCTTCTTGCTTTCATTGACAGAAATTTCATTCACTGGAGCTGGCAGGGTTGCACATTGCAATATTATGTATCTGCGAGATGAATCAGACTCCAGAAACCCAAGTCACTGCTTGACTACCCTTGTTCCCTGGGAAATTTTCAAATGCAGGGAGAAAGGGTTGAGATAGGCATATTCTTGGGGTGATATTCTCCTCCCCCTTGATTACTAAATATATTTCACAACCTCTGTGGGGAGCTTGCAATACAGATGTGTCTGATAATAAGTCTGAAATAAACGTGGCATTGGTTTTCTGGAAACGTAGCTGAATCATTGGGCTCTATGTGTGCACATATTCTCTACTGTAGATCTCACGTAATCCCTCTTGAATCCCAACACGTGCTCGCTCTTACTGCATTTCTCATTCTTGCCTTTTCTGTCATAGTGGTTGTTAAGAACTGCAGCAAACTGGCAACAGTTGTCTCCTACAGCTAGGAGAAGAGAACATTCCTGTGAACATAAATTATTTTAGACTGGAACATGAACTATACACTGGTTTACCTTCTGAAACTAAGGATTAATTAAAACTAGTAGATACTTGGAACAAGATGGGAAATCATTTATAGGCTGTTCTATGAAAAAATAAGTAGTCACAAATTTTTAAAGTTTTAAAGTCTCTTTCTTTGAAGTAAAGATTTTTTTTTAGTACATGCATAAAAGGAAACTTTGAAAAGAGCATAATTAATAAGCTTCAAAAAGGTGTGCAAAGTGTTTTTGACTAATCCTGCAAAAACATATGCCTAGGCATAACTTTACTTGTGTGAGCACCACTATTAAACTTGGCATTGAATTAAGGGATTATTCAGGCAAGTAAATTTATGACAAGGCATATGTAGTTAGAAAACCCTGGCCTAATAATTGTAAGTATGAAGAAGAGTTTCACAAGTCTGGTTCACACTAATTGACATTGTTCAGGAAAAGGTTACTGAAAATAATCTGATTTATACATACAACTAATTTGTAACTTGCTAATTATAAGGACAGTTAAACTTTTCACAGAGCTGTAATAAGAAAGAAACTTCCGATTTTACAACAACCTATATTAAGTCCTTTACTGGCACATTTATTAAGGATAAAGGACACAGGATGAAAATTCCACCGGAAAAAGGTCAGGGAGGAACAGAAGATACCTCCTGAAGAAAATGTATCTCACTGAAGACTTTCTTCCTTCTTTGCAAAAGAGGACTAACAGAAATAAGGAGTATTTAACACTTTACCAAAAAGGTGGATTTGGATGGGGAAAGCATCTTGTATCTCTGTCCCACTCTCTATTATATAAATATTTTTTGAAGATAACTACAAATTGAACCTGTGGACTTATGATTAAAAAAGTGCATTGGGGAATAGTAGGAAGGCCTAGAAAAACCTTCTCAACAAGTGGTGTAACCTTCCTGACAGTGAGAAGGTTAGTAAAAAAGACACTGAGCAAAGCAGAGAAGTCAGTATCTCAAAGAAGTTTGTCTCAGCAAGCGAGGAGTGTCTGATACTACAGACTCCTTCATAGTCACAAGCATGGCATGGCTTCAGTAGATGCTCTTCTAGACACAGAAGCTGATGATGCAACTGGTAGGATCCTCTTTTATTTAATGTACTTGACTTGTAATAAGTTTCATAGTTCTGGTCTGTTTTTTTATTTATTTACTTTTATAGTAACTTTGTAATCTAACAGGTGCCTGATACCAATTCAGTCCTGATGGGAACAGCTGCAATTTAATGCTGGCCTACACAAAGACTGAATTTGGTTTATGATGTCTGTGATCTTTTAACTCTGAGGCAAAGCTCAAGGGAAACATTCAAGGCATAAGGATTTTAATGCCCTTATCTTGATAACACATCCATGCAGCTTGAACTTTAAACTGGTGTGCTTTCTTTAGTAGTTAATTTTAAAAGCATAAGAAGAGCTCGTTCTAGGATGATTTACACCAGACTTCTTTTTAACATGTCTTGTTTTCCATTGTTAGTATTTATGGATCAGAAATAAGGTCATTCAACAGTTCCACCCTGAAAAGATGAAATAACTAGCCTTAGGGAAGGTGGATTAAAGAACGACTAGCACTTTTTGCAACAAGTGGAGTTTTTACTTGAACTATCAACATTGGATTAGAGCATCTCAGAAAGCTGAAAAGGTCATTTAAAGTGATTTATAGAATATCACACACAAATTCAGTGATTGCTAGTATCCTTATGCCTTTGTTGTTACCCACACCAAGAAAAACAATGCATCAAGAACAAGGTGAGGGAGCAGTTTTAAGTCTTTAACTGGAGATTAGTTTATTGCTTTCTTACATTAAAATGTCAGTTAATGTGCACCTGTCATTTTGGTGACAGGGCGATGTGGGTACTCAGTGATTTCAGTACTGGGCCATTCTTAAGGTCAATGAAAAAAGCTCTCTTGAGTGCCACTACCTCTTGTTTGTCTTTCTCTTCCTTTTGAAACTGTTCTCTTGGCCTGGTGGGTTGCTTTTTCCTGGGCACTTTATGTGCTGAGGTGCAAAGATGCCCTGGCTATCCCTCTGACAGAGCCCTGTGTTGGAAGAGAGCCTCCAGCAGGCAAGAAGAGAGCCCTTGCAATCTCACCCTTGCTTTTCTGTGCCTGTCCTGTCTGCTAACACCTGACATGAGTTGGGATAACACAGGGACTGGTGCTAAGCTGGCAACCAGCACCTACCACATCAGGGTATAAAGCTGCGTTCACCCCCTTCTCACCCATCTCTGTTCTGTGATAGATACATTTGGGGTTTTGTACTTTTTCCCATTTTTTCCCTGTTTTTGTTACTAGTGAGGAAGGCAGAGAGGAAGCCTGGCAGCGCTGAAGCCCCAGAGCCCTACAGAGCAGCAAGATACAGCTAACTTCACTAGGACTGCACACATGCTTAAACTTAAGTATGCGTGTTAACTACTTACCTGAATGAGATAGCAATGAAAAAGGGAAAAACAATGTTTGTCTGCTAAATCTGGCCCAGTTGCATTAGGTCCAAACAGTTCTGTTAAAACAGCTGGGTGAGTGCTCAAAAGAATTATGAACTCAAGAGACCAAAATCTGTAAGATCAGTGAAGTCACTTGTGGAAGAACTAAGAAACATAGCTATCTATGACTGACTCTTTTCTTTTTTTAAAAATCTGATATTTGTTAAATAGTACAGCCATTGCAGAATTGGGGAATAGGATCTATCAGTAAGAATTTTATTCTGGAGGCTTTTCAAACTGGCCCTGGGTTTTGGTTTGAGCAGTGTAAGAATCTAGTTGGAGTGTTCCTCTTAGTGTATTTTCTAGAATATAAATTATAAATGTAAGAATGGAACTATCTTTTGATAATCAGATTGGAGATCTCATCAGCCTTTTCAGAATATGATTGTTCTTGATGATGTTTTTTTTTTAGTTTTAAAATGATAATATTAAAAGTTCTATTAAAGATTGTTTTATCTAATAACTGAAATGCCTGTTGTGAATTCAGACTGACGGAATTATTGTTTTTGTCACAGGTTATCCTTGGACTTCTTTTTGTGTCTCAAGAGAAAATGGGTAGCCCGGTGAATATCTCACTCAAGAGAGATAATTTGTAGAAGACAAAGTTGTAGCACAAATTGAGGGTTCTGATGAAAACTAAGATGTTGATGGCTGTGAACATTATTTCAGGCATGAATAACTTCCAGTATTAAAAATGGTAAGCTGTTTGGGAGAAGGGAAAACATCTAGTGGAGATGCTGAACTTTGCCAATTGTTGAACAGAATTGAGCATAAAAATACAGTTTAAATAAAGCTATTCCTCAGACTGGTTTTGATTGAATAATTTACTGAA